GGATAAATTTAGATTTAGAAAGGATATAGATAAGTACTGGTTTTCTAACAGAGTTGCAGATGCGTGGAACAATCTTCCCAGTTGGGTGGTGGAGGCTAGGACCTTGGGTAGCTTTAAGAAGAGATTGGACAAATATATGAGTGGGAGGGGCTGGGTTTGATTGGTGTCAGTGGGTACGGGAGTTATTTCTTGTGTAGCTTTAGGTAGAAGTCGTTTTGATAAGGACCTGCCTTGCATAGGCCAGTAGGCCTTCTGCAGTGCTCCTCCATTCTTATGTTCTTAAATGTGACAACAATATGTAAGGAAGCGGAGGAGAGATATGCAAAGGCAACACACATAATGAGAAAGCTAGGACGAGCCCTTGGTTCACCGAAAAGTGTAGAGACGATAAAACCAGATGTGCTAGAGAATGGAAGAAGTATAGAAGGCAAAGGACCCGGGAGAACAAGAAGCGAAGTCGAAAAGCGAGAAATAAATATGCACAGGTAAGGAGGAAGTTCTCACACAATACGAAAATGACACAGCAGCGAAAGCAAAGTCACAACTGAAGCTGTTGAACAGTCACATCAGGAAAAAATCAAGTATCAAAAACCAGGTAAACAAGCAGAGGAAGGAGAGGAGTTTACAAGAAATGACCTTGAGGTATATGGGGGGTTTAACATGAGATTCAACGAAGCATTCACAATGGAAACAGAAAAGCCTCCAGAAAGACGGAGAGGTGGGATACACCAACAAGTGCTGGAAACGATACATACTAGATATCTCAAAGGAGATGGGGCCAGATAACATCTCTCCATGGGTCCTGAGAGAGGGAGCGGAGGTGCACTGTGTACCACTAACAACAATCTTCAACACATCAATCGAAACAAGTATGGAAGACAGTATATATAGTCCCAATTAAACTACAGACCAGTGTCACTGACATGAATTATATGCAAAACCATGGAGAAAATTATCATGAGAAGAGTGGTAGACCACCTAGAAAGGAATGAGCATGAAACGACAATCAGCAAGGTTTCAGAGACGGGAAATCCTGTGTCACAAACCTACTTGAGATTTATGACAAGGTGACAGCATTAAGACAAGAAAGAAGGCTTTTGACACGGCTCCACACAAGAGATTAATGCAGAAGCTGGAAGACCAGGTAGGTATAAAAGAGAAGGCACTGCAATGGTTCAGTGAATACTTGATGGGAAGGCGTCAGCGAGTCACGCTACGAGACGAGGTGTTAGAGTGGACTCTTGTAACGAGCGGGGTTCCACAGGGTCAGTCCTAGGATCGGTGCTGTTACGGTCTAATCAGGTGGGGAGGGGACATAGACCTGCTCCGCATGGGTCAGTAGGCCTGTTGCAGTGCTCCTTCTTTCTTATGTTCTTATGTTATAGATGAAAAAGACGGAAGGAATAGACACAAAAGTGTCCCTGTTTGCAAACAATATGAAGTTAAAGAAGAGAATTCAGTCGGAGGAGGACAAGGCAGGACTACAGAGGGACCTGGGCAGGCTGCAGGCCTGGTCCAGCAACTGGCTTCTAGAGTTCAACCCCACCAACTGCAAAGTCATGATGATCGGGGAAAAGCAAAGAAGACTGCAGACAGAGTACAGTCTATGGGGCCAAAGACTACACACCTCACTCAAGGTAAAGGATCTTGGGTCTACCTGGAGTCTACCTGGAGGTTATTCCGGGGATCAACGCATCCGCGGCCCGGTCCACGACCAGACCTCCCTGTGGATCAGGGCCTGATCAACCAAGCTGCTATTGCTGGCCGCACGCAGTCCAACGTACGAACCACAGCCCGCCTGATCTGGCACTGACTTTAGGTATCTGTCCAGTTCTCTCTTGAAGGCAGCCAGGGGTTTATAGGTAATTCCTCTTATGCTTGGCGGGAGGCTGTTGAACAGTCTTATGGTGTTTTCAGTTAGTGTACCAATGGCGCCCCTACTTTTAACTGGGGGCATTTTGCATCGCCTGCCCAGTCTTTTACTTTCGTAGGGAGTGATTTCTTTGTGCAGATTCGGGATCATTCCTTCTAGGATTTTCCAAGTGTAGATTATGATATCTCTCTCTCTCTCCTGCGTTCCATCGAGTACAAGTCAAGTGCTTCCAAGCGTTCCCAGTAGTTAAGGTGCTTGACAGAACTTATACGTGCAGTAAAGGTTCTCTGGACACTCTCTAGATCTGCAATTTTTCCTGCTTTGAACGGAGATGTTAATGTACAGCAGTATTCCAGCCTAGAGAGAACAAGTGATTTGAAAAGGATCATCACTGGCTTGACATCTCTCGTTTTGAACGTTCTCATTATCCATCCTATCATTTTCTTTGCACTTGTGATCATGGCACTGTTGTGATCCTTGAAAGTGAGATCCTCAGACATTACTACTCCTACAATGTTTTTCCTCTCTATTGTATGGCCAGAGTTTGTAGTATACTCTTCTAGTTATTATCCCCTCCAGTTTTCCATAACGGAGTAGTTGGAATTTGTCCTCATTGAACATCATATTGTTTTCCGTAGCCCACTAAAAAACTTGGTTTATATCTTCTTGAAGGTTAACCGTGTCCTCGATAGATGACAGCCTCATGCAGATTCTAGTATCGTCTTCAAAGGATGATACGGTGCAGTGGGTTACATGTCTGTCTATGTCTGATATGAGGATGAGGAACAGGATGGGGGCGAGTACTGTGCCTTGTGGAACAGAGCTCTTCACTATAGCAGCCTCCGATTTAACTCTGTTGACCACTACTCTTTGTGTTTGATTGGTTAGGAAGTTGAAGATCCATCTCCCCACTTTGCCAGTTATTCCTGTAGCACGTATTTTGTGCTCTCTTACCCCATGATCGCACTTGTCAAACGATTTTGCAAAGTCTGTGTATATTACATCTGCATTCAGATTTTCTTCCAGTGCATCCAAGGCCATATCATAGTGATCCAGTAGTTGTGAGAGGCAGTAGCGACCTGCCCTGAACCCATGTTGCTCTGGATTGTTCAGTTTTTGGGAATCCAGGTGATTTACAATCCTGCTTCTTAGCACTCTTAAAAGATTTTTTTGTGGGACGTTAGAGCTATTGGTCTATAGTTCTTAGCTAATGCTTTGCTGCCACCTTTATGGAGTGGAGCTATATCCGTCGTTTTAAGTGACTGCGGAATTTCACCCATGTCTAAACTCCTTCTCCATAGTGTACTTAGGGCACATGAGAGGGGTTTCTTGCAATTCTTAATGAACACAGAGTTCCACGAGTCTGGGCCTGGGGCTGAGTGCATAGGCATGTTGTCAATGGCTTTTTCAAAGTCTATCGGAGTTAGGGTAATGGCGGAAATCTGGCATACATTTATGGAGTTTTGAGGCTCATTCATGAAGAAATCATTTGGGTCGTCGATCCTCAGACTGATGAGTGGCTCACTAAACAGAGTCGTACTAAGATTTCAGTATTTCACTCATTTCCTTGTTGTAATCTGTGTAAGTCCCATCCTGTCTGGGTGTGTATAATACAGAGCACATCTTCTGACGCGCACATCAACCAAATAACCGATGCAGCATATGGACGACTGGCGAACCTAAAAATAGCATTCCCACACCTCAGTAAGGATTATTATTACAATAATGGGAAGCGCTAAACCCGTAGGATTATACAGCGCCTGGGGGGTGGAATGGAAGGTATTCAGGCTTAATTCAAGGAACTGGAGCAAAGATCCAATTCCCTAGATCAAGAACCCCTCACCAGCGTCCAGAAACGTCCCGTGAGGGGATCTCAGTAAGGAGTGGTTCCGGACCCCTGTACTCGTCAGGCTTATGTTGGAGTATGCAGCTCGACTTTGGAAGCCACACATGGCCAAGCACGCCAGGAACCTAGAGAAAATGCAAAGGTTTGCAACGAGACTAGTCTCAGAGTTAAGGGGCATGTCCTACGAGTAGAGGTTAAGGGAACTCGACCTGACGACCCTAGAGAACTGGAGGGACGGGGGGGGGGGAGGAGGTACATGATAACAACATATAAAATACTGAGAGGAATCGACTAGGTGAACCGAGACAGGATGTTCCAGAGATGGGACACAGCAACAAGGGGTCATAACTGGAAGATCAAGCCTCAGACGAGTCACAGGGATGTTAGGAAATATTTCTTCAGTCGGAGAGTTGTTAGGGAATAGAATAATCTGGAAAGTGAGGTAATGGACGCAGGTAGCCTATGTAGCTTTAACAAGAAGTATGATAAAACTTATAGAGCAGGGAGAGACTGGACCTAGTTGCGACCAGTGAAGAGGCGTGGCCAGGAGCTATGAATCGACCATTGCAATTACAATTAGGTGACTACACACACACACACACACACACACACACACACACACACATACACGTTCCGGTACCTTAGTAAGGAATCGTTCAAGACACTGTACACCATGTACGTTAGGCCCAAACTGGAGTATGCAGCACCTGTTTGGAACCCGCACTTGATCAAGCACGTCAAGAAATTAGAGAAAGTGCAAAGGTTTGCAACAAGGTTAGTTCCAGAGCTAAGGGGAATGTCCTATGAAGAAAGGTTAAGGGAAATCGGCCTGACGACACTGGAGGACAGGAGGGTCAGGGTAGACATGATAACAACATATAAAATACTGCGCGGAATAGACAAGGTGGACAAAGACAGGATGTTCCAGAGAGGGGACACAGAAACAAGAGGTCACAATTGGAAGTTAAAGACTCAGATGAGTCAAAGGGATGTTAGGAAGTATTTCTTCAGCCATAGAGTTGTCAGGCCGTGGAATAGCCTAGAGAGTGACGTAGTGGAGACGGGAACCATACATAGTTTTAAGACGAGGTTTGATAAAGCTCATGGAGCAGGGAGAGAGAGGACCCAGTAGCAACCAGTGAAGAGGCGGGGCCAGGAGCTAAGACTTGACCCCTGCAACCACAAATAGGTGAGTACACACACACACACACACACACACACACACACACACACACACACACACACACACACACACACACACACAAATTTTATAATACCTACCTCCGTATGCTCGGCAGGAGAGCACCACCCTGGAGGAGAGTTCGTACGGTCCCACAACCTGACTGATCATCGTTTCGTAGGAGTCAAATATCTCCAGACTGCGGATTTCCTCTGTTGATTAGAACAACTCATCGTAAGCATCGAGAACCCACGCGAAAACATATGAAATCATTTTTTATTGACATCAGAGATGCTGGGGAAATGGGGTAACGTACCATGCACGGTGAGCTGGAGCAACGCCATCATGGTTTGTGACGTCATGAAGTCAACACGGCAGGTATAGTTGCCAGCGTCCGCCAGAGTCAGGTTCTCCACCTCCAAAAACCCCATCCGTGACTGTCCGAAGAGAGAAGTTCAGTTTAACTTACTTGTGAGTGTGATCCCTTGCAAGGGAAGGGGGATTACCTTTATGTTAATGAAGGTTTCTTGATCCATGATATAGGGGCTACCCTCCTCTTTCTCGGATCAAATCTGATTACCTACTAGTTTATACATACGTTGTATTAACTCTACGGGCACATTACTTTTTTAATAATAATAATAATAATAATAATATAAAAACCAATAACCGTGATTAAATTTAATTATTTCCCTAAGCACTGATAGAAGCTTCATGCTGTATAAATGGTACTATAAAAGAGAATTGGTCACACAAGCCAAAACTACAAATATACATCTTTTCTAACAGTTTTTTCACGGAATAATTTCAACAATGCTTTTAGTATACTCTGGAAAATCAATCGTTGTTTTATACGCAGTGACTCAAAACTCAGCAAGCTATGTATATTCCCTGTATTGTATTTTAAGTTTGTTGGGTTTAAAATACACACGTGTATCGCGTGTCCATGGTCGTTAAGGTTGAATGTCACTCGTTCAGAATACAATCACGCTTGCTCACACAAGAACGCATGTATGTGTGTGTGTGTATGTATATAATATATATATATATATATATATATATATATATATATATATATATATATATATATATATATATATATATATATATATGTGTGTGTATTATATATTCTTTCTTTCAACACACCGGCAGTATCCCACCGAGGCAGGGTGGCCCAAAAGGAAAAACGAAAGTTTCTCCTTTTACATTTAGTAATATATACAGGAGAAGGGGTTACTAGCCCCTTGCTCCCGGCATTTTAGTCGCCTCTTACGACACGCATGGCTTACGGAGAAAAATTATGTTCCACTTCCCCATGGAGAATATATATATATATATATATATATATATATATATATATATATATATATATATATATATATATATATATATATATATATATATATATATATATATATATATATATATATGTGTGTGTGTGTGTGTGTGTGTGTGTGTGTGTGTGTGTGTGTGTGTGTGTGTGTGTGTGTGTGTATATATAGCACATTGAAATTTGTGACGACATTTTGGTCTGATTTGGATCATTAATTAGTCACACAAATGCGTGAAGGAGAGGAAGTCATAATATATGCGACAAGGGGCGGGAGATGGGAGAGGCAGAATGAGATGAGGGAATATTATTAGAGTAGAAGTAGTAATGGCAGTGGTAGAAGAAGTGCAACAGTGATAGATGTGGAAATAAGAATGTAATTGTGGTAGTGAAAATTGGGCAGAGAGTGGAGTGTTAGCAAAGAAATAGTAGAAGTAGCACTGAAAGTGGAGATGAGGTGAAAAATGAAGGGGTAAGAAGCGGAGGAGATGAAGTTTGGAGCATTTGACAATGTAATGAGAAAGAAAAGCATCTACAGAGACAAAGGCAATACTGAGATTCATATTAGGAAGGTTGTGTATAAGGGATACTTCAAAAAGACAGCGTCTGTGAAGGCTAAAAGAACGGTAGACAGTTTTGGCAGCGGACCAGTTAATGGGATGACTGTGATCTCTAAAATGTCAGAAAAGAGAATTACTGGTGTCAGAAAGTCTAGCACTTCTTTTGTGTTCTTTTAGTAAGTCAGAAAGTGAGTGGCCAAGTTCTCCAAAATACTGGAGAGGAGAAGAGGAGCAGGAAATGAAGTAGACTGGAAGCATCAATGACAGGAGATATAAGGACTAGATTACTACAAAGAGTATTATTAGTCTGGCGAAAAGAAAGCATGATGTCTAAAGAATGGCTGTTAAAATTTAGGACACTGGAAATATAGGGTAGGAAAAGGATAGGAAATTTCACAAGAGAGGAGAGTTTGGAAGAAAAGAAAGTCCGTTTAGAATGAGAGTATGCAGAGTCTATGAAGTCGGAAATGAAATGAAGCCGAGAGAACAAATGTGGAAATTTCGAAGTCAGCAAACTGAAGGTCACAGATGCGAAGGCCACAGAGAAAGACAGAAAAAAGAACACTCTTTTTGTTAGAGAGAGCATGGTAAGAAAAGTTGTTTATATACATGTCACTGTGTATTGGCTTGCGATAAACGGAAAAAGAAAATCCTATCGCCGAGCGATGGACATGTAGATAAATGGTTCAGAGAACCGACAAGTTGATGAATTAGACACATGTGTAACACTTGAGTATCATTATTGAGGAAAAGTGTCGCCACACAGTGGCTTCATCAGTCCTAAACAAAGAAGAATGGTGAAGATTAGAAGGAGTTTGAGGTAATCAGTCCCTCAGCCTGGAGTCGATGTAATCAGTCCATCAGTCTTGAAAATAATGCAGCATATGCGCGAAGTGGCTTACATACTGTAGACAGGGAATTCTTCACTTGCCTAACCTTCAGGCATAACCTACTTCCACATTGGATTTGTTCACTGTGATATCACCTACGACTGCTTCACCTCATCGCATATGCTGTATTCTTTTCAAGATTGAAGGACTGATTACATCGACTCTAGGCTGAGGGACTGATTATCTCGAACTTCTTCTGATCTTCACCATTCTTCTTTGTTTAGGACTGATGAAGCCACTGTGTGGCTAAACGTTTCCTCAATAAAGATACCTAAGTGTTGTACATGTGTCTAATTCATCAGTTAGATTTCCATTCAGTTTTAAACTTGAAGGAAGGAGCAAGACTTTTAAGAGCACTGAGAAATGGTTCGAAGAGGCTAGAATCATTTGGCCAAAGAGCATAGACATCATCTACATAGCGGAGCCAGAGAGAAAGGCGCACCCCAACAACAGGAAGAACAGTTTCGAAATGCTCCACAGAAAGATAAAAAAAAAAAAAAAGATGCGGGAACAGAGCCCTCCGTTTTCTTTAACATCCGTTTCATTTTCTCTGGTAGTTTCCGTTAATTTTGCAAGCATGGAAGCATATAAGTTTTGGTTGAACACCGGAATGAGTTCGGGTATAACTGGTCAAAATTTAGAAGCTTTCATTGTCACAAAGATCCAGGAAAGAAAGGATGAAGTTGAAAGGGAAAAACAAGGATAGCAAGAGCCCAAAGAAACACGAAAAGTTTCGGAATAAAATTTACCTTGAAAGGAAAGAGAGTTGGAGCCTACACAAAGACGAATAAGATCAAGAAAGGCATCAGGCAGATAGTTCCAAGAGTAGATCCAATTGGGCTGAAAAGTCAAGCAACCAGCGATGTTAATCAGTTGAATGTTAACAGAAAGAATCAGGAGCTGGAACTAGCCCCATGAAGACACATTTCGGTGAGTACCATAGCCTTTGGTTAAATCAATCTGCGCACTTACAAATAGACACACGCACAGACAAACAGACCCAGGTTCGATTTGCAAGCAGGAGAATGTGTTAAAGTAAGCCTCCTTTTATCTACCGAACCTGCTCACCTAGCAGCAAATAGGCCTCTTGGTGCTAACCGACTATTGTAGGCCGCATCATGGGAACAAAATTCAAATATTAATAACAATAATAACAAAGACGAGCCAACAAGAGCATTGCTCTGCACTCGTAACTACAAAGGCAGGATACACAATGGCTCAGAGAGTAAAAAAAAAAACAAGGAGTTGTAAAGGAAGGCTGAAAGAACTAAAAATACCATCGCTGGCTGACAGGAAGCAAACAGTGAACACGATGACCACATACAAAGTTATACAGGGACACGATAAAATATACGTAGAAAATTCGTTTACCATCATCATTAGAGAAAACCAGAGGCTACATTAATGCAGAACTGAGAAAAATGACATCGAAAGGGCACTTAGGAAATATTTCTTCATAATGTGACTGGTAGACTAGAAATAGGATCCAAGAGGAAGTAGCGTGTGATATAAGCATTAGGAAATTTATGAGATAATAACATTCTATGCACTGTTGAAGGGACACCATGAACGTAGCTCTGTTCCTCAAACTATAAATATAAATATATAAAAAAAAATACAAACATGTATCCTTAAACTTTCCATCAAATAATTACATCCTCTTGAAAATCGAAAGTCATAACACATATCGAATGGAATAAGTTATCTTTATTATGTATCCTTTTATTAGAGGGCTACAGAGATAGAATAAGAACCTGTGCTAAATTTAGCTAACATTGTTCTTGTGGAATAACTATTTTTCCCTCTCTGAGAAACTAAAGTTAGATAACACTGTGTCTATGAAATCAATGTTTCTCTCTTTGAGAAACTCCGTCTTATCAATAAAGTTTTGGCAAAAGCGCAAGATTTTCCCATCAAACGACCCGGGAAAATATTGACGCCTGAGAATAGTTCAGGAAAACTTTGGCACTCTGGGGAATTACTCGAGTTTTTTCCTTTGATCTGTGTGTGCCAGGTCATTAAGGGCAGGTGTGGGGTAGGCAGGTGTGGTGAACAGGCTAGGTGGGCTGGTGGGGTGGTAGTGTAGAGATGTGATGCTGCGCAGGTGTGGAGATGTGATGCTGCGCAGATGTGGAGATGTTATACAGCGCAGTTGTGGTGATGGCAGACAGATGTGGTGGTCGTGGGAAGATGTAGAGATGGTAGGCAGGTGTGGTGGCATCGGACATGTATAATGCGAGCAGGTATGGTGATGGTAGGCAGGTGGTAAAAGTGCAGGTGTTGGGGTGATAGGTATGGTGATAGTGGACAGTTGTTGGGCTGTGCGGATGTAATTGTGGGCAGGCGAATGTGATGGTTCGCAGGTGTGACAATCGTGGACAGGTGTGGCTGTAGACAAGAGAAAGATTCGCGATACTTCAGACACAGATTTTTCCCTTAATCTCTCATTTGCGATTTATAAAATAGCTTTCCTCGCCTGTCAAGATTAAGGCAAGAGGCTGAAATATGCAATAAGGTATTCTATATGCAAATGGCTACCTTGTAATACTTTCACAGAGATCATCACAAGCATGTCACCCTCTTAAAGAAGTATAAAGCTTCCACAACCATTCATTGCTCTAATGGGCATTTAGGCAGACCCACAGAAATCTTATTCA